CAAAAACTAGCTGGGTGTGGTGCACACCTGTAATCCCAGCTACTTGGGAGGCTGAGGCAGGAGAATCACTTGAACCTGGGAGGCAGAGGTTGCAGTGAGCCAAGATCATGCCACTGCACTCCAGCCTGGGTGATAGAGTGAGACTCTGTCTAAAAAAAAAAAAAAAAAGAAAAAAAGAACAGAAGAGGAAGAAGGGGCAGGGGTGGGAGGAAAAAGAGACGGAGAAGGGGAAAGAGGAGAAAAAAGGGAAGAGAGAGAAGCAGGGAGGAAGGGGTGGAAGGAAGGGGTGGAAAGGAAGAGAGGGGAGGAGGGAGAAGGCGGAGAGGAAGAAGGCAGCCACCCTGGGAAGTGCTACACCTCATGAAGGACAGCAGCCAGGTGGGGCAAGTACTGGGGAGTAGAGACCCTTATTCCCTGGCCCCCCACTATGCTTCAAAGAAGTATTTAGAAAGCAAGGGCTTTGGGGCTGGGCACGGTGGCTCATGCCTATAATCCCAGCAGTTTGGGAGGCCGAGGCAGGTGGATCACCTGAGCTCAGGAGTTTGAGACCAGCCCGGCCAACATGGTGAAACCCTGTCTCTACTAAAAACACAAAAAATTAGTCAAGTGTGGTGGCAGATGCCTGTAATCCCAGCTACTTGGGAGGCTGAGGCAGGAGAATTGCTTGAACCCGGGAAGCGGAGGTTGCAGTGAGCCGAGATTGCAACACTGCACTCCAGCCTGGGCAACAAGAGTGAAACTCTGCCTCAAACAAACAGACAAAACCTCTACAACCAATGATTGGTATTTTTTAATAATTGTTTTATCTTTTCTATTTTTATTTTTTAGCCAAACCATTGCAAAGTAAATTATAGATGCTTGACACTTTGCCCCTAAATATTCCAGCATGCATCTCCTCTGAATAAAGCTATTGTCTTGCATAAATATATCATTATCCCATCTAACAAAATTAACAATAATTCCTATATGTCATCTAACACCCAGTTCATATCCAAATTTCTCTAATTGTCCCAAAATGTATTTCGTAGTTTCTCCTCTCTCCTTCTTTCCTTCTTTCTGCCTCGTTTCTTCTCTCCCTCACACCCTTTCTTTTTATTTTATTTATTTTTTTGAGACAGGGTCCCTCTCTGTCACCCAGGTGAGCGTGCAGTGGTATAATCTCAGCTCACTACAGCCTCGACCTCCCAGGCACAAGAGATCCTCCCAGCTCAACTTCCCAAGTAGCTGGGACCACAGGCTCATGCCACCATGCCTGGCTAGTTACTGTGTTTTTGTTGTTGTTGTTGTCGTTGTAGAGACAGGGTTTTCCCATGTTGCACAAGCTGGTCTCAAACTCCTGGGCTCCAGCAATCTGTCCACCTTGGCCTCCCAAAGTGCTGGAATTATAAGCATGAGCTACCACACCTGGCGCCTCCTTCCCTCCCTCCCTCCCTCCCTCCCTTCCTTCTTTCTTTCCTTTATTCCCTCCTTTCTTTTATTTTTTTAACCAGGATCCGACCTAGGTTCATGCACTGCATATGGGTATTTCTTTTGAGTCTACATAGACCACTTGCATAGACCACTTTTTAATGACTTCAACTTTCTTAAGAGTCAAGTCGGCCGGGTTCAGTGTCTCACGCCTGTAATCCTAGCACTTTGGGAGGCCAAGGTGGGCAGATCACTTGAGGTCAGGAGTTCAAGACTAGCCTAGCCAACATGGTGAAACCCCGTCTCTACTAAAAATACAAAAATTAGCTGGGCATGGTGGCATGTGCCTATAATCCCAGCTACTTGGGAGGCTGAGGCTAGGGAATTGCTTGAACCCTGGAGGTGGAGGTTGCTGCCCTCCAGCCTGGGTGGCAGAGTGAGACTCCGTCTCAAAAAAAAAAAAAAGAAAAGAAAAGAAAAAAAAGAGCAAAGTCAAGTCCATTGTCTTATACAATGTTCTCATTCTTAATTTAGTTATTTCCTTGTGATGTCACCTAATTTGTTCCTCTATCCTATTTATTTCCTGTAAACTGAGAGTTAGATCTAAAGGCTTGATTAGACCCAGGCTACATACTCTTGGCAAGAATCTATTATGAGTAATACCGTACACTTCACAAGCACCAGTTGCTCCACTTTTCCTTGGATGGATGGGATTGATGGATCGACGGGTGATTGTTAGACATCTTTATTGTAGAAGAATTAGTCCCCTTGTGATTTGCAAGTCAGTTGTGGCATGCTGGGCTGGCACCCTGCCGCATGAACCTAGGCAGGATTTTGACAGACCATTCCAGGCAGAGGTGAAAGCCTCACCAAGGTGGAAGGGACAGGACGTATTCAGGGGTGGGGAATGGCCCAATGCCATTGGCTCCAATAGAGGCTGCAGCTGGGCCCAACTGCAGAGAACTGTGAAGCGGGAGTGAAGAATGAGAATGCTGTTCACAGGCTGGAGAGAGCTGGGAAGGTCTTGGGCTGAGGGATAACCAGAGTAACGATGAGAAAAAAAAAAAAAAAAAAGAGTAGCACTGGACGCAAAAAGTTTCCTCTGGGGTGGGGGTGGTGAGAATGGGGGTGTCCTTGTCCTCACCTTCCACAAACCCTCAGGTGGCCAAGACCCTGTGCCCCAGGGAGCAGGGAGCCTATGCTGTTCTCTGGGGACACGAGGGACTCCCCCAGCCCCGGAAGTAGCACAGAAACAGCCCTGGAGAGGAGGATGGGGAGATCAGGGCACTCCTGCAGGACCAGGGTTGGAGAAGGGATGGGCATGACCGGGAACCACCCCTGCCGCCACCTCCAGGGCCCCTGGGGCCCCACCCCACCCAGTTCTCCCAGCTTATCTTTTCTGGCCAGCAAGGAGGGTTGCCCATGGGTGCTTAGCATTTCCTCTGCCTGTGACCACATTGGCTGTACCAGAAGGAAGGGGCCTGGGTCCCTGAAATGACCACGTGGAAGGTTGCCTAAGACTGAGAATGCCTGATTAGACTTGTGTGAGAAGAAATAGCCTCTGTTGAGTTGAGCCACTGAGATTTGGAGGTGTTCGTTGCAGGCCGTAGACTTTCCTGACACTCCCTCCCTTTCTCCAGTGTCTGCCCGTGCGGCGGGAAGGTGAAGGCTGAGTGGTTGAGTGGTTATGCTGCTGAAGGCTCGAGACGTGGGGACTGCTTTACTGGTTTATAAAATCCTCCCGACAGCGGCTCCCAAGGTGGGCTGGGAACTCTGGGACAAATGTCTGGGCTTCCCTGTCAGCACCTGTGCAGCCACCTCCCAGGCCCTTGTGTCCAGCCTAGACTCCCACCACTCACTGGGTGACCTCGGGCAAGTCACCGCCTATTTCAACGTGAAGACTTCCCCAGTGGGATAGAGGGGATCAATGGTGTCCCTTGCCCCATCTCACAGGGACAGCAAATGCCAGGAAACCAAAGCAGACACTATTTTAAAGGATTTATTTTCCAGAAATCCTGAGGGGCAAGGACAGGACAGGAGGGGAAAGGAAATCCCAGGATGCTTGAGGGTCCCGTTCATGGGCAGTAGGGCAGATTAGTCCTCCTAGTGCCTGCGGCAGGCAGGTTAACCCTGGGCTTGGGAGGGACACAGGCCCTCGATGACACTGAGCTGTATGCCTAGGCAGTGTCACTCCCCACACTTTCAACCTGAGCCCCACAGCAAGCCTATAAGATGGACATTCTCACTGTGATTTGTCAGGCTGGGTTCAGGGAGTGAAATGGCCTCCTCCAGTTCCACAGCTTCAAATACCCGGCAGAGCGGCACCAGGCTCCCTCAGAAAGGACCAGGCACTTGTAACATGTATGTCCTTTACCTGGGACACTGCTGTCCCATACCTGCCATATGAAAAGAATATTTCTCAAGAGGAAGAGGAAGCCAGGCGTGGTGGCTCATGCCTGTAATCCCAGCACTTTGGGAGGCTGAGCCAGGAGGATCGCTTGAGCCCAGGAGTTTGAGACCAGCCTGGTAACATGGCAAAACCCCGTCTCTACAAAAATCAGCCAGAAAGGCATAGATAGACCCAAATCCCAGTCTTTAGCCTGTCTCAACCACCTGAGAATGGTTTCTACCCAGGATTCCTTCACTCAATTACACCCCACTCTTTGCCTCCTGCCACAGAGAGAGAGAGAGAGCGCGCTACCCTACCACAGCCAGGGCCAGGAAAGCTTCACCTTGTCCCCCTCTCACACAGTTCCTAAAATTCTTCCATTCATCCATTTGACCTCTTAAGTATTTACTCTGTTTTCAAATACATATATAACTCCAGCTTATAATACCAAGCCAAGGGTACTCATTCACACCATAGCATGAATTTGACTGTCAGCTATTTAAGGAAGGAGGCAGGGAAAGTGGAATGCGGGGGTACTCTGAAGAGGCCAGGCCTGGGTATTGGAGGTTGGAGGACCATCCAAAAAAAAGCCTGAGGGGAGAAGGAAGTGTAAGCAGACATGACACATAGCTAAAACGGGGAAGAAAGCTACAGGAGTCTCCTATTAGGAAAAAAGGGGGAGGCCAGGTGTGGTAGCTCATGCCTGTAATCTTAGCACTTTGGGAGCCCAAGGAAGGTGGATCACTTGAGGTCATGAGTTCAAGACCAGCCTGGCCAACATAGTGAAACCCTGTCTCTACTAAAAATACAAAAATTATCCAGCCGTAGTGGCACACACGTGTAATCCCAGCTACTTGGGAGGCTGGGGCAGGAGAATCACTTGAACCCAGGAGGTCGAGGTTGTAGTGAGCTGAGATCACGCCATTGCATTCCAGCCCAGGCAACAGAGTGAGACTCTGTCATAAAAAAAAAAAAAAAAAAAAGAAAGAGGAGACGAGGGGTGGGGGAAGAGGCCAGGTGCTGTGGCTCACGCCTATAATCCCAGCACTTTGGGAGGCTGAGGTGGGCAGATTACCTGAGGACAGGAGTTCGAGACCAGCCTGGCCAACAAGGTGAAGCCTCGTCTCTACTAAAAATACAAAAATTAGCCGGGCGTGGTAGCGGGAACCTGTAATCCCAGCTACTCAGGAGACTGAGGCAAGAGAATCACTTGAGCCCAGGAGGTGGAGGCTTCAATGAGCCAAGACCGCACCATTGCACTCCAACCTGGGTGACAAGAACGAAACTCCATCTCATCTCAAAAAAAAAAAGGGGGGGAGAGTGGGGGAAGAAAGGTGAATCTGGGCAAATTTGGGGCTTCACATTGACCCAGCTGGCCCCTTTCTAGTGACCTTGAGTCTCTGTATTGATATCTAACTGCCTTTTGGCAGAGAGAGGGGAGGGTCATTAGTTTTATTGATTTTGTCTGCAGCCACTTTCTGGGCTCTGATTCTGAGCTGGGGCCTGTCTGCAGTGCTGTATGCTAGAGGCCGGGAGACCAGAGTAACTTAGATATAAACCTTGGTCCAACTAGTGGGGAGGTGGGGGAGACAACCCCCAAATCCCAAGAATCTGGGGAGACTGTGACTAAGGTTATTAAGAGAGGACAGAGGGCCAGGGGACGTCTAATACATGAAATGGAATTACCAGCTGCTTGGGCGAGCAATGCCTTGGAGGGCTGGTAGGGCTACACCTGTGCAGGTGGTGGGACTTTCTGGGTGTCGGCAACATCCCAGGCAAAGACCCCAGAAGTGGGATGTGTGGTATGGGTTTGGAGAACAGGGAGCTAGAACCCAACATGCATGAAGGGAAGTGGGCAGGCTGGAGACAGAGATGGAACCCAGATCCAGAAGGCTGCATGCCAGGCTTGGGAGCCCTGACTCAGCTTAGGGCAGTGGGGAGTCATGGAAGGGTTTGAGCAGGGGAATCGCTGATGGGAACAGGACACTCTGGCTGCAGGGAGGCAGAGGATGGGTTAGAGGGGTCAGGGGGATATGGGAGTGACAGCACGGAGGTGACAAAGGGTGACAGCCACAGGGATGGAGATCAGGGAATGCAGAGAGTTGGCACAGGCTTCCGGCCGGAGCAGCTGTAATGGCAGGGAGGTAGGGCTCCTGAGCCTTCCTGGAGGAGCCGAGGCCATGGTCATCAGAGTAGGCTCTTCATTGGCTCAGCTTATTGAGAATCATCTTCACCCAGGGCACTCTGGGATCGGCACAGATCTCCTTATCCCTGGAGGTTAGCAACCTGGAAGGGGAGACCCCAGAGACAATGCAGCAACATTAGCACGTAGCAAGGAGGCCACACCCTCAGGAACTTAGCATTTATGAGCCACCTGCTTTATGCAGGGCTCAGTATTTATGAGTCACCTACTGCACGTGACATTACCTGCTAAATAGAGTGGTTCAAAATTTACGAGTCACCTGTGGTGTGAAAAGAATATTTCTCAAGAGGAAGAGGAGGCCGGGAGCTCACGCCTGTAAACGCAGCACTTTGGGAGGCCGAGGCAGGAGGATTGTTTGAGCCTAGGGGTTTGAGACCATCCTGGGCAACATGGCAAAACCCTGTCTCTACAAAAATGTACAAGTCAGCCAGGCATGGTGGCATGCGCCTGTGATCTCAGCTGTTTGGGAGGCTGAGGTGGGAGGATTGCTTGAGCTCAGGACATCGAGGCTGCAGTGAGCCCAGGTCTCTGCCCCACTGTACTCCAGCCTAGGCAACAGAATGAAACCATGTGTCAAGAAAAAAAAAAGGAAGAGGAGCAGCAAGGACTTCCAGGACCCTCAGCTCTTTAGTCCCGGCCTTGAGTTCCAGGTGAGGCCATGAAATAGAATCCCCAAGAGTTGGGTGTTTTTTGTTTTTTTTTTTTAGATGGAGTCTCTGTCACTCAGGCTGGAGTGTAGTGGTACGATTTTGGCTCACTGCAACCTCCACCTCCCGGGTTCAGGAGATCCCCCTGCCTCAGCCTCCCAGGTAGCCGGGATTACAGGTGCCCACCACAACGCCCAGCTAATTTTTGTATTTTTAGTAGAGATGGGTTTTCACCATGTTGGCCAGGCTGGTCTTGAACTCCTGACCTCAAGTGATCTGCCTGTCTCGGCCTCCCAAAGTGCTGGGATTACAGGAGTGAGCCACCTCGCCAAGCCAGAATCCCCAAGAGTCTTATAATACGCTTAACTACTCTGAGCCTCAAAATACATTCTTTCTAGGGTCCCTTCTGGCTCCAAATCCAACGATCACATATGATTTGATTGATTGATTGATTTTAGAGACAGGGTCTCACTCTATTGCCCAGACTTGTCTTGAACTCCTGGTCTCAAGTGATCCTCCCAACTTGGCCTCCCAAAGTGCTGAGATTACAGGTGTAAGCCACTGCACTCAGCTTTTTTTATCAAAAAGAAAAGAAAAAAAAAAAAGACAGAGTCTCACTAAGTTACCAGATTGACCTCAAAATCCAGAGTTCAGGCAATCCTGCCTCAGCCTCCCAAGTAGCTGAGAGGCACTACCGTGCCCAGCAATTGAGCATCTATTATGCGCCAGACATGGAGCTCTTCACCTTCCTCTTACATTACTGTGCCCTGTAACAAATGCTCAAGAGGCCCCCTAACCTCTGTGTGCTCATTTCCTCACCTGTGAAAAGGGGGTCATGATGGCACCTGCTGCATAGGATTGTTTCAAGGATTAAATGAGTTCATATTTATAAAGTGCTTACAACAGTGCCTAGCACTTAGCAAGCACTCTCTATGTGTTTGATAAATACAAATAAGTCAAATAAGTAAAGGTTATTACTTCATTATACTGTTAGGGAAACTGAGGTTCAGAGTTAAAGAGAGAAGAACTCTGGGAGGGCTTCCTGCTTCAGCCTTCTTTATTATTCACCTGCAGATCCCTCTAAGAGATGGTGTCAGCAATAAGGAGGAGGAAGACGAGAAGAAGATAATAGAGGCCTAAAGCGGGTCATGAGTCCCTAAACCCAGCCTGCCCCGCTGTGTGATTTGGTGGACAGCAGGCTCTGAGCAGTTGGAGAAGCAGCCAGAGAGGCTACCGCAAAGCGGGCAGGACCCGTCACCCAGTCAGGTGCAGGTGCAGGCTCCAGGCCAGGGAAAAGGAGGCAAAGAAGCCAGAGAAAGAAGCAAAGGAGAACAAGAAACTCAGGAGAAAGCCCTGAACGAGGGACCAGGAGTGAGTTCTGGCTCCAGCCTGGGCAGCCTTGAGCAGGTCACTGTCCCTTGCTAAGCCTGTTTCTCCATCTCTACCATGGGAATCGTTGAACCTCCTCATAGGATTGTTGTGAGAATTAAACCAATTAACACAGGTAATGATCAGAACAGTGCCTGGCACTCGGGAGGCACCTTGGAAATTTTAGCTCTTAATATTATTCTTCCGGTCAAAATGGGTTGCCTCGGACTTCTGGAAGCCTGGAGAGGATCCAAGACACTTCTGGTGTGAGCTTTTTTTTTTTTTTTTTTTTTTTTTTTGAGACAGTGTCTCGCTCTGTTGCCCAGGCTGGAGTGCGGTGGAGTGATCTCGGCTCACTGCAACCTCCACCTTCCAGGTTCAAACGATTCTCCTGCCTCAGCCTCCCAAGTAGCTGGGACCACAGGCACGCACCACCACACTCAGCTAATTTTGTATTTTTAGTAGAGATGGGGTTTCACCATGTTGACTAGGCTGATCTCGAACTCCTGACCTCAAGTGATCTGCCTGCCTCGGCCTCCCAGAGTGCTGGAATTACAGGCATGAGCCACTACGCCTGGTTCACCATCCATTTTTGCCCAAAACCTGGGAGCATCTTTGCTGACTCAGTGGCACTAGGCATACTCCTATACCTGCTATACCCAAATACCCTAGATGCCACAGCTACTGACGGCCTACTGCCATGCCCACACTATGGCCACACCCTATTCACTCAGCTTGGCATCCTCAGAACCGGACACGTTGCCTGGCATCTAGTAAGCACCTGATGATATTTCCTAAATGATCACATTATTTTTGTTTGTAGTACACCCAAGCCTGAACTGAGCCATCTCTTCCAGCCAAGCCATCCTGGCAGGCATCCGGTAGCCCTGCTACATCCCTCTCATCCCTGGGTGTGTCCCATCCAGCAGCCCCTGGGCCATCCCAGGCTGTACCCGTCAGACCCACCAAGACCCTGCGGCCCCAGCTTCCTACTCACACCACGCCAGGCCTCGGGCAGGAGTCTGAGGTCCAGTAGAAGTGTTTCACCACACGCAGGGGCATACGGTAACGGACGTAATCACGGCAGCAGACGCTGTCTTCCATGTTGGCGCCGTAGGGGCCTAGCGGAGGGGTGCCAGTGAATTCACAAGCCGGAGCCCAGAGAGGTCACCCTCAGCCCCAGCCCCTGATCTCGGCCTCTCCAGGCTCCAGGAAAGCGATGCAGTTTTTCTGTTCTCATGTGGAAGGATGGTGACCAGAGGATTCTGAGCCCTCCAAGATCCTACCCTTGGAGCTTCTGAGAAGCCACTTATGGTCTGATGTCTACACTCTGGGACAGTCAGCTCTAGGAACAGGGATTCAGAACAACTAAGCATCAGCTGTACCCCAAGATGGGACTCAGTGACTCTGAGCCACAAGGTGCCTTAGATCCTTGCTGTTCAAGGTAAGGTCCATGGTCCATGGCATCAGCGTCACCTGGGAGCTTGTCAGAAATGCTCAGCCCCCGGCGCCAGACCTGCTGAATCCGGTGTGCATTTTGACAAACTCCCCAGTGATCCATCAGCACATGGGCACTTGAGAAGTCAGCTTCTGCTCATATGTGTGCAGTGGGAAGCCTGCGGTCCACAGAGGGAGGGGCACTTGCCCAGGATCACACAGCAAGATGCAGCAGAGTCAGGACGAAGGCTCAACAGAGGACAGTCACATAGACCCGGGTTCGAGCCCCGCTTTCCCCTGACTCACTGGGCCACCCTGACCAAGTCATTGAATCCTCTGAGGCCCAATTTCCTCATCTGACCAAAGGGGTAGTAACAGTACCAGCTTCAGAGGGTGTTTAATGCATGAAAAGCGCTCAGAAAGCCCAGCAGCTGGGAGCCATTCTTGTTTATAGCTGCCCCACCCCACTCCAGTGCTCACTCCTCCACCCAACACAGCACAAGCATAGAGTGGGGTAGAGAAGGGGTCAGGAACCCATACTGAGGACAGGTTCTGGACAAAATTGGATAGTGAGCCCAGCGTAGTGGCTCACGCCTGTAATCCTAGCACTTAGGCAGGCTGAGATGGGAGTATCACTTAAAGTCAGGAGTTCAAGACAAGCCTGGTCAACATGGTGAAACCCCATCTCTACTAAAAATACAAAAATTAGCCAGGCATGGTGGTGGGTGCCTGTAATCCCAGCTACTCAGGAGGCTGAGGCAGGAGAATCACTTTAACCCTAGAGGTGGAGGTTGCAGTGAGCCAAGATTGCGCCACTGCACTCCAACCTGGGCGACAGAGACTCCATCTCAAAAAATAAATAAATAAAATGAAATAAAAAATAAATTTAGGCTAGGCGCAGTGGCTCACGCCTGTAATCCCAGCTCTTTGGGAGGCGGAGGTGGATGGATCATCTGAGGTCAGGAGTTTGAGACCAGCCTGGCCAACATGGTGAAACCCTGTCTCCACTAAAAATACAAAAATT